GCTTAATTTTGTTTTTAAAAAGAATGTATACTTGGGGCTGGAGAGATGGCTCAGCGGTTAAGAACCGCTTGCAGAAGACCAGGTTCAAATCCAGCCACCCACACGGCAGCTAACAACTGTCCATAATTCCAGTTCCAGGGGATCCGACAGCCTCTTCTGACCTCTGCCAGCATTGCACGACACGGGTGCATTTACCTACATGCAGACAATACACGCATACACACAAAATAAAAATAATAAAATTTTTAAAAAAAGAATGTATGCTTGTGTGTACCTGTGTGAGTGTGCACTCCAGTGGGTGTTCAGAGGCCAGAGAAAGACATCTGTTGCTTTATGCTTTATTTCCTTGTCACAGGATCTCTCACCGAACTTGAAGTTTTACCTAGGCTAACTGGCCAGCCTGGGGATCTGCCTGCTAGCACCTAGTGCTGCTGTTTTTCTTTTGGTCTTTTTGAGACAGGGTCTCCCTGTAGCCCCAGCTTCCTGGAACTCGCTATGTAGACATGCTGGCCTTGAACTCACAGAGATCCCCCTGCCTCTGCCTCTGCCTCCCAAGTTCTGGGATTAAGAGCATACACCACCAAGCCCAGTGTACCCAGTGCTCTTAACTACTGAGCTATCTATCTCTCCAGCCCCATCCCCTTAATATTTTTTAAAGCAAAATATTCTATAATAGTTAACCTTAAAAGATTTCCTGTAGTCGGGCATGGTGGCACATGCCTTTAATCCCAGCACTTGGGAGGCAGAGGCAGGCGGATCCCTGTGAGTTCAAGGTCAGCCTGATCTACATAGTGAGTTCCAGGACAGCTGGGGCTACAGGGAGACCCTGCCTCAAAAAGACCAAAAAAAAAAGATTTATTATTTTTCTATTTATGCGTTGTGCTTTCATGAATTTGTGTACACCACATGGGTACAGTTGTCTTTGGAGGTCAAGGGGCATTGACTTACCTGGAACGGTACTACCTGGTGGTTGAATACAGGTGCTGGGAACTAAACCCGGGTCCTCTGCAAGAGTGGTAAGTGCTCTTATCTGCTGAATCCTTACAATTTTCTATTTTATTTATTTTTGGTCTTTTTGAGACAGGTTCTCCCTGTAGCCCCAGATGTCCTGGAACTCACTGTGTAGACCAGCCTGGCCTTGAACTCACAAAGATCCACCTGCCTCTGCCGTCCCAATGCTGGGACTAAAGGTATGCACCACCACACCCAGCCTCAACCCCAGTAATCTTTAAAAATGATTTCTATTTCCTTCAGATTATGTTAATGCTCTTAATTTGTTTCAAGCTATTAAGTGGTTTATGCTTTCTTTTATGTGTATGTTCAAGTTTGTGTGTGTAAAGGCCAGAGGTTGGTTGAGGCTGGTTGCTTTCGTCAACTGCCTCCCCCCCCCCCCTTTTTTTTTTTTTTGGTCTTTTTGAGACAGGGTTTCTGTAGCCCCAGCTGGCCTGTAGACTAGGCTGGCTTTAAACTCACAGCCATCTGCCTGCCTCTGCCTGGGATTAAAGGCATGTGCCACCACATCTGGCATGGCTCTCCGTCCAGTTTTTAAGACACTCCCTGCTCTGGAGTTCACTGAGCTAGACTGACTGGCCAAATATCCCCTTGGCACTTGATCGACTGAACCATCTCTCCAGTCCTTAAATGTTTTTTATTAGTAAAAGTTAAATATACATAGTGTGGATTTCAGTATGACATTTTCATAGATATGTATATTTTGATCCTATTCACTTCCTTGACCCTTTGTTGTTCCCCCCTTCCACTGGCCCCTCCTCTTCCCATGTAGTCTCCCTTCTATGTTCATATCTTTTAATTTTTTTTTTTTTTGTAACCCTGAGAGTTTCATTAGGGTTGTTTACAGGAGCATGGGCACCTTATCCATGGCAGAAGTACTCAAGAGAGTGTCTCTCTCCCCCAACAACCATTAACTGCTTATAGCTACTTGGGGCAGGGTACAGTGTTGGGGAGATTCCCCCTGACAGGCCTAGACTTGTGCAGGCAATCACAGCTGCTGTGAATTAAGAGTTCAGGTGTCATATCATGCCTAGGACACTGTTTGACAACACAGCACCTATTCTTCCAGTTCATTCTTTCTACTCCCTCTTCAGTGATGTGCTCTCAGCATTGGAGGGATTATATAGAGACCCCCCCCCCTTTTTTTTCGGTGATACTCTTATTTCCATCTTGTCTGTTTATTTTTATTTTTTTATTTTATCTTTTTAAAAATTTATTGAGAATTTCATACATGAATATAAGGTGTTTTGATCAAAGCCATACCCACTCCCTCCCCTCCCAACTCCTCCCATATCTTCCCCATCACTTTTTTCTGATAACTTCTTGTAGTTTTTCTTCTTTGATTTATTTTTATAGAGATCCCATTTATGGCTGAGCATTCCACCTTCATTCTCATCACTCTGACCACTTAGGAGTCTCTGCAATTAGCACTGCCTACTGCAATTGTTCCTGTTTTAATACTTTTGCTGTATATATGCTCCCTCAGCCCCCACTCAGATTCTTGAGAACAGAGTACATCTCATGCTCTCCTTGACTTTGTTATGCAGCTGAGGATTATCTTCTCTCTACAGGTGCTGGAATTATAGGCATGTGCTATGCCTTAGATTATTTGTTTTTGAGATAGGTTCTTCCACTATAACCCTGGCTGGCCTGGTACTTGCTATAGCTCAATCTAGCTTCCAGCTTGTGTTAGTTTCCTGCCTCAGTCTCTCAAGAATAGGAATTATAAGTGTGCACCATCATGCTTATGTTATATATGCATTATATTTGTAAATATTCCTTCCCTCCTCCCCTCCCTCTGTCCCTACTCTACCCCTTCGTCCCTTCCTTGCTTTGGGGATAGGAATTGAAACAGGATCTGACACTAGCCCAGGCTGGCCTAGAATTCACTTTGTACCCAAGGCTGGCCATGAACTTGCAATGACTCCCCTGCCTCAGCCTCTCAAGTTCTGGGGTTATAGGCATGAGCTACCCTGTCCCTTCCCATTTTCTTAAGTGTGGTGTTCATGTGGTGTTCCACATTGTGTATCCTTTTAATTTTCTACCCCTCCCCAAGATTTTGAAGACTGAGCCGGGTGTGGTGGTGCACTCCTTTAGTCCTAGCACTTGAGAGGCAGAGGCAGGCCGATCTTTGTTACTTTGAGGTCAGCCTGGTCTGCATAGCAAGTTCCAGGCCAGCTGGAGCTATAGGGAGACCCTGTCTCCAAAAAAAAAAAAAAAAAATAGTAGATTTTGAAGACTTAGGTGTGTTAATTGGTAAAGATTTATAGGTCATTGGTTTAATACTCTTTCCTTTTTCTGCTTGTTTCACCCTAGACATGTTTATTGAGGACCAGCTATATGCTAGGAATTGTGCTACTTAGTAAAAATGCATAGGAGTCGTGCCTGGAGGCAGAGGCCTGTAATCCTAGCCATGTTGGGAGTCTGAGGCAAGAGGTTTGCAAGTTCAAGGTCCGTCTGGAAAGTTTAGTGAAAATGAAAAGTACAAAAAGGCTAGGGATACAGTTTAATGGTAGAGTGCTTTTCTTCCTCCCTCCCTCCCTCTCTCTCTTTTTTTTTTTTTTGTTTAGACAGGATTTCCCTGTAGCCCCAGCTGCCCTTGAACTCACAGAGATCCGCCTGCCCCTGCCTCCTGAGTGCTGGAATTAAAGGCCTGTGCCACCATGCCTGGCTTTTTTATTTATTTATTTATTTTTATTTTATGTGTTTGAGTGTATTGCCTGCATGTATGTAAGTGCATCCATGTTGTGCAGTGCCTGAAGAGGTCAGAAGAAGATATCAGATCCCTTGGAACTGGAATTGCAGGCTGTTTTTACCTGCCATGTGGGTGCTAAGAATCAAACCTCAGTCCTCTGCAAGAGCAGCCAGTGCTCTTAACCGCTGAGCCATCTTTCCAGGCCCCTAGAGTGCTTTTCTAACATGTACAAGACCCTATACTCAATCTCCAGTACTGCAAAAAGGAAAAAAAAAAAAAAAAAAAAAGACATAAGTAAGCTTTGCTGAAAAGTCAGGTAGAATGGTTCTTAATCACTTAGGGAAATGTCTGAACTCCCTCTCCAGAGGATTCAGGATCAATGTACGCTAGATACTTCACAAAAATGCCCTTAAAAAAAAGTAGTCATGGCAGGGTATGGCAGCCCATACCTTTAATTCCAGCACTGGGGAGGCAGAGGCTGACTGATCTCTTTGAGTTCAAGGCCACCCTGGTCTACATAGGGAGTTCTGGGTCAGCCAGGGCTACCTAGTGAGACCCTTCCTCAAAAGAAAAAAAAGTAATCATTTTGATAACTGTTTTTTGTTTGCCTCTTGGTTTCCCTAGTGCTATGGAACAAACCCAGGACTTTGTAGATGCCTAGTGTTCCACATCTAGCTCCAGACACTTTTTATTGGGGTTGGAATAATAATTTGTACTATTCAATTCAGAATTGTACTGTGGAATAATAAATTGCTTACTGAAGCAAGAGCTTTAATAATTTTTTTGGTGTCTGGAGACATTTTTCCAGTGCAACTTTTAAAGGTATTAACCATTGTAAACAAAAGTGATAAACTTATCTCCCCCCCAATTAAGTAATCCATGAAAGTTTAATGAGAAATATATTTGAGGAATTTGTCGTTGGAAAGAATATAATATGTAGTTTCATTAAACAAAACATTGGTATCCGCTTAAGAACGTTGACTAAACTTATTTCACTGGTAATCACATTGTAATGGCTTCTACTTTGGTGTGAGCTTTGGGTCTTTTAAGAATTGATGTTAAGGCCAGGTGTGGTGGTACATGCCTTTAGTCCCAGCACTCGGGAGGCAGAGGCAGTGGATCTCTGTGAGTTCAAGGCCAACCTGATCTACATAGTGAATTCCAGGCTAGCTGGGGCTACAGGAAGACCCTATCTTAAAAAGACCCCCCCCCAAAAAAATTGATGGTAATAGTAGCATTACTGTACCTTCTTTGTAACTTTGTATATGCTTTAACCATGAGTTTATCTTTATAGGATTTCTATAATTGGCCTGATGAATCGTTTGATGAAATGGATAGTACACTTGCTGTTCAGCAGGTAATAAAAATAATTTCTTTCTTAACTCTAGTAATTCAAGCATTTTCTATCTTTGGCTCAGTTGAATATTCCCATATTTTTTGGTACAAACCAGATTCCACTGAGTTAATGGAATGGCCATTTAAAATTTTAATCAAACCTCATTTTTTAATGTCATGCAATTTGAATGTATAGTGAATTAAAATAAATATTAATTGAGTGATAACTTAGAATAATAATTAAATAGAAATAAAATACTAATTTGGTGACTAAAACCTTTGGTGATGTGTCTCTAAGATTTATGTCCTCATTATTAGTTTGTAACTTACACACTCCATTATATGTGTTAATGTGCTTCCCTTTAGATTATTACCATTATCACATAGCTCACTAAACCATTGGTTTCCAATGAAGTGGGCTTTGATAGCATGTTTGGTTTGAATTGTATCTCAAATTCTAAAACAATTATTTTTGAGTATCATTTAATATACTGTGTTAGGTTTATCAAAAGAAAAAAAAAGTGGTAGTTCTTTTATATTGAATAGAATGTAGAGTTGGAGAAAAATAGTCATGGCTAGTCTTTTCTAAGATTTATTATTTTTAAAATTGTTTATCTCGCCGGGTGTGGTGGCACACACCTTTAATCCCAGCACTCGGGAGGCAGAGGCAGGCGGATCTCTGTGAGTTCAAGGCCAGCCTGGTCTACATAGTGAGCTCAGGACAGTTGGGGCTACAGGGAGACCCTGTCTCAAAAAGACAAAAAAAAAAAAAAAAATTGTTTATCTCATGTATGTGAATGTTTTGCCTGCATATAAATGCACCCATGTTGTGCAATACCCATGGAGGCCAGAAGAAGGCATCAGTCCCCTGAAACTGGAGTTACAGACAGTTGTTAGCAATCATATGGGTGCTGGGATTTAATCCAGGTCTTCTGCAAGAGCAGGGAGTGCTCTTAACTGCTGAACTAGCTCTCTAGCCCCTTAAACTTTATTATTTTTATGTCTATGGGTGTTTGCCTACATGTATATATGTGTACCACATGCATGCCTGATGCCTGCAGAGGCCAGAAGAGGGCGTTGGATTCCTGGAACTGGAGTTACAGACTTTTGTGAACCTCCATGTGGGTGCTGGGAACCAGCCTGGGTCCTCCTCAAGTGCTCTTAACCTCTGAGCTGTCTCTCTAGCCCCGTCATGGCTAATTCTTAAAGATTGCATTGAGGGGTTAATAAAAGACAAATTAGGGCATACTGGAGCTGGAGGTGTAGGTGTAGCTCAGTGGTGAAGCATTTGCTTAGCATGCCTGAGTGGCTAGATTTGCTTTTCAGCACTGCAGTTAAAGAAAGAAGGCTATATTTAAGAAAGAAAAAGATGTCTATAAAACAACAAAACCCAGAACAAAAGAATTGGTATGGATTAGACATTGGTTAAGTAACATTTTTCTTTTGCCTTTTTTTGGGGGGGGGGTACGGAGGTGTCAGTGGTCAGGATGAAACTAGGATCTCATATATGCTAGGCAAGCACTCTACCACTAAGCTATCCCCAGGCCTACAGCTATCCTTCGAGTGTGTTGTATGCTGTGTCTTTTTTTCTATCCTTTTAATGTACTTATGTCATCATATTTGAAGTAAATTTCTTTTGTAAATAATTTTATTATTTTCATTTTATGTATGCGTGTTATGCCTGCATGTATATAAGTGCACCTGTGCCATGCAATGCCCATGAAGGTCAAAAGAGGGCATCAGATCCTCTAGAATTGGAATTAGGTATAGTCGTTAGCCACCATGTGGGTGCTGGGAACTAAACCCAGGTTCTCTGCATGAGCGGTCAGTGCTCTCAACTAGTTGCTGAGCCATCTCTCCAACCCCTGAAGTAAATTTCTTATAGCCAACATAGAACCAGTTTGTAATTCATTTTTAGTCTTTGTCTATTAAATTTGCCATCACACTATTTAAGATTAATTATTCATAGATGTTTAGATTTAGGTTAACTATTTTATTGTTTTCAGTTGTCTCTTTTTTTTCCTTTTTGAGACAGTCTCATATATGTGTGTGTGTGTGTGTGTGTATATATATATATACACACACATATATACACACACACATACATATGCCAGGCTGGCCTCATACTTGAAATATAGCCAAGGATGACCTTGAAATCTTGGTCCTCCACTTCCCTAGTGCTGGCATTATAGGCATCACCACCATGCCTGGCTTATGTGGTGCTAGGGGTTTGAACTTGGGGCCTTATGCAGTCTACCAACCTAGCTATCTCCTCTGCCCTCAGTTTGTCTTTGTCTTTGTTCCTATTAACTCTTTTCTTTCCTTTTAAGTTTTTTTTTAAGTTTTAGAATTCTGTTTTGGTTTTATTTTAATTATGTCTATAAGTTTTCATTTTACTGAAGTCTTACTTTACAGTCTTCTTAAATAGAATCAATACTTTATCATTGCAGTTGAAGGACACTTTACCTTTATATGGACCCTTTCCCTCACTCTGTGCTCTTGTTGCTTTATGTATTACGTCTATATACATACATTGAATTTTTAACTTTAATGTGTATAAGTGTATTGCCTGCATGTATGTAAAGGTACCTGTGTCATGCAGTGCCCATGGAAATCAGAAGACAGCCTTGAATTCCCCTGGAACTGGAGTTACTGACAGTTGTCAGTTGCCATGTGGGTACTGGGAATCAAACCCAGGTTCTTTGCAAGAGCAGTATTCTTAACCACTGAGTCATCTCTCCAGCCTTTTTATTTTATGTGTATGAGTATATTGCCTGCATATATGTAAGTGCACCCATGTCATGCAAAGCCCCTGGAGATCAGAAAAGGGTGTTGGATCCCCTGGAACTGGAGTTAAGGATGGTTGTTAGCCACCACGTGGGTGCTGAGAACTGAACCTGGGTCCTCTGCAAGAGCAGCCAGTACTCTTAACCACTAAGCCATCTCTCTAGCCCCTGTATACATAACATTAAAACCCCATCAGACAGTGGTATTTGTGGGGATGGGGACAGTCCTGGGGTTTAAACCCAAGGCCTCATACATGCTTAGGCAATAGCTTAACCATTGAGCTATAGCTCCAACCCCATGTTACTTTTTTTTTTTTTTTTTTTTTGGTCTTTTTGAGACAGGGTCTCCCTGTAGCCCCAGCTGTCCTGGATTCACCATGGAGACCAGGCTGGCCCCGAACTCACAGAGATCCGCCTGCCTCTGCCTCCCAAGTGCTGGGATTAAAGGCATGCACCACCATGCCCGGCTACCCAATGTTACTTTAAAAAAAAAAAAAAAACATTGCAGTTGTGTGTGTATTAGAATGCATGTGTGCCGTGTCGCATGTGTGGAGGTTAGAGAACAACTTTATGGAGTTGGTTCTCCCCTTCTACCTTTATGCTGGTTCCAGAGATTGAACTCAGGTTATCAGGTTTGCCTATAAGTGCCTTCACCTGATTAGCCATTTTATCTAGTTGAGCATTACTTTTGTTTTGGCTTTTTGAGACAGTTTCACTCTTGTCCACCCTGGCCTTGAACTCATGGTAGTACTTCTGTCTTGGCCTCTTGAGTACTAGAATTATAGGCATGAGTTACCACACCCAACTCCAATGTTATTTTAAATGTTTAAAATTTTATTTTAAACGACTTTAAATTCCAGCACTTGAGAGGCAGAGGCAGGCAGATCTCTGAGTTCAAGACCAGTCTGGTCTACATAGTAAGTCCAGACCAGCTAGGGCTTCAGGAAGATCCTGTCTCAGAAAGACCCCCCCCAAAAAATTGTTTAAAATAATTTTTTTACATTTTTTTGTGTGTGTACATGTATGATAAGGTCATTGGGCAGTTTGCGGGATTCAGAGTTCTTGGGATCAAACTTGGGTCGAGTAAGGCTTGGTGGCAAATGCCTTTACCTACTGAGCCATCTTTTTACTTCCTTCATGAATACCTTAATTTAAAAAGTACTTTATTTCCAGGCATGGTGGCACACACCTTTAATTGGGGAGGCAGGCAGGATCTCTGTGAGTTCAAGGGGAGACCCTGTCTCAAAAAGACCAAAAAAAAAAATTATTAAGCCCAGTGTGGTGGCACATGCTTTTAATTCCAGCACTCAGGAGGCAGAAGCAGGCCGATCTCTGAGATCAAGGCCAGCCTGATTTACATAGTGAGTTCTAGGCCAGTCTTGGGGCTACAGGGAGACCCTGTCTCAATAAAAAAAAAAAGCAAAACACTATTGGGCTGGGTGTGGGTATGGTGACGCATACCCTGAAGAGATAGAGGCAGGCAAATCCCTCTGAGTTTGAGGCTAGCCTGGTCTACATAGTGAGATCCTGAGTCCACCCCCACCCCAAAAAAGAAAAAAAATGCCCCCAAATCCTTGTATTATTGAGATTGGGAGTCTAGCTCAATGGTACAGTGCATTAGCACTGGGTTTGATTCCTTTCACTATGAAACAAAGACCTCTCCCAAACAACAGCAAAAAACCAACTTTATTCCAGGAAAATACTAACAGTTATTTAAGCCTTCAGCAATAATATTTGTGCTGGTAGACAGTCTTGCTTTGTTTTTGATGCCTATTGACTGATTTAGGGAGATAGATGGCTGAAGGTTGGGGTGGCTGTGGCAGTCTCTTAAAATAATGCAGTGAAGTTTGCCATTTCAATTGTCTTTGCCTTTGTAGTATGTAATGTCGTTTGATGGCATTTTACTCATAGTAGAGGATCTCTAAAAATTAAAGAGTTAAGGGACTAGAGAGATGGTTCAGTGGTTAAAAGTATTGGTTGCTTTTGCAGAAGACCCTGGTTTGAATCCCATCACCTAACTGTCTGTCCATAGCTCCAATTCTAACACCCTCTTCTGACCTCCTTGGACATTGCATGACATGGGTGCACCTATGTACATGCAGGCAATACACTCATACACACAAAAATAATAAAATATTGCCATTTCAATAGTGTTTACATCTTCACCAGAGTAAGTTCCATCTCAAGAGACTTAGTACCCTCAAATGGTTTTATATAATATACAAAACTTGAATTT